TACGTACGTACGTTACGTACGTTACGTCGTACGTTACGTCGTTACGTCTACGTTCGTACGTCTTCGTCTTCTCGTCTCTCTCTCTCTCTTCTCTTCTCTCTCTCTCTCTCTCTCTCTCTCTCTCTCTCTCTCTCTCTCTCTCTCTCTCTCTCTCTCTCTCTCTCTCTCAGCAAATTCTCTATTTGTCGCATATTTCTGTGTATTTTGTCTTTTTGCTGAATTTATCATTTTCTGAATTTCTATAGGAGGTTTTACGAGTGTCACGCATTCAATTGGAACGAGAGCTATCATTAGAGGATGTCCATCGGATTCGAGATCTACCAGCACACAACCTGTTGTATCGATAGTTTTTGTTTCCTATAATGTTTTGGCTCCTGTGAAATCCTGTTACACTTTCAATGTTGTGATATATAATCATTAATCAGAATAGAAAGGAAATCAGAGTTTCACCTTTTCCTCTTGTTTTTATGATGCACCTGAAGATGAGATGTATCAGATGCCCTCGGGAGGAAACTATGACGTGATCTTTCATAGCATCACATCAAATATAATGGATCAACCATTCATACTTTGATTGAAGAGTCAAAGCCTTCACGAAACTATTAGCAATTGAGTGAGAGAGAGAGGATGTGCGATACAGCCAGAAATTAGAAAAAGCAAACTTGAATTTTGATACTTGAACGTGGCAGGGGAGCAGAGGATTAAAGCCAGAAGTCAAGCATGCGTAAGTTGTTGCATAAGAACAGTATCAAGATGGTTCTCATCAAGTCCTGATTCCATGATTATACCCTCAGGAGAGAAGAGAAGAGAAGGAAAAAGGTAAAGGACTGGCAGGTTGTAATTGGCTGGTCCTTGTTTTTTTGTAGTTCAGCAGTAGGAATTGAACTTTGAGATGTAATATTGCTAAACGCGAGCTTCTAACCACTCAAGCCTAAGTCTGATTCCTGGAATTGGCTGGTCAGTATTATTACCAGCTTTGGATGATCAGATCGCCTTTTTTTGGTCCCATTATTTTTCACACAAATGACAAAGAAACTCACTATAAATATGAACCCAAACTTTAGTTGAAACACCGCATTCATTCAGTGTTGGAAGGCCTGCCACATGATCTCCTGCACTCTTTATGAAGGAAACCACACTTGTGCTTCTGAAAATGAATGAAATACCCTTAGTTTCTATTCATGCTCTGAAAGATAGCTGTAATGGCTCCTGTTCACAGCAACCATGATCCAGATAACCCCTGAAGTTACCAATGGGCAATATCCGACTTACACTTCGTATCTCAGTAGTTGACCAGGTTGTCCTTCAAGATATTTGTACAAAAGGTAATCAGTAGGTGGTGTTCTTTATTTCTATTTCGACTCTGAATATCATTGAGCTCTGCAATCATTTGGCCTCCAATTATCTTCATTCTTAGGATCCATTGGGGATGTCAATGGGTTGGGTAGGCGAACCCATGTTGAGTTCAGGCCTAGAAATCCTTCCTGCTCGGTCGGTCCGGGTTAGGAAAAGTCAATTTTACGCCCAATGGATCACTTGCTTTTTTATAAGATGCCAATGAGCCGAGCCACTGGGGTTGGGTCTGAGGAAAAAGGAGCCTGGCCAGGTTTAAATTGAATAACTCAAATGGGTTTGGTCTGGCCAGGCTTGGATTTTATACGTTTCAATTGAAATAAGTTCGAACTAAGAAGCCTGACCTGATCGGTTTCTGGTTGGATCCTGCCAACCGAACACTACTGGGATCCGTTTGATCCTGACCTGACAAGAGCCCAGACCTTGAACATCTGTATGATGCTGGTGAGGATGAAAGCCATGCAATTGGCTTCTGCTATTCAGAAAAATCTACCACAGACAGCAACATCTGCATTGAGAGAGAGAGAAGAGAGAGAGAGAGAGAGAGAGAGAGCTAGCTGAACTATGACATATATCTGCACCAAGAGAGAGAGAGAGCTGAAGAATGACATATATCTGCACCGACATGGAGGTAGAGATGAACCAGAATACAGTTGAATGTTCATCGTGTATAGACGATTGTTCAACATTGTCTCCGTTGTGTCACAAGAATGGATGATCTCTTGCAGTGTATTGGAAGAAACTGGTTCCACCTAAATATTTTATCCATGTATATGCAACTCTCAATCACTCTATCTAAATGAATTAAATGAATAACTGGGATAGCTTCAGTCATAATTCCACAATTCCACAAGGTGGTTTTTGATCTTTGAATTTTGAATTTTAATATCTGTTTATAAAATTTTGACATAAAATTTGGGGTGATCCCCTATGGATTGCCTAATGAGGGTAAGAGAAAAGTTATTTTTAATAATAAAAAATACCATAATACCTTTGTAATGGTGTTTTAGTCGACTTTTATTGTAAAAAATAATCTTTTTTATGGGAATTTTTTCAAATTACATATAAGAGATCAATTATTTAATGTTTTACATGCGTCTATTGATTTAGTTCCATAATACCTATCAAAATATATATAACTACGAGTTGGAATAATTGAAAAAGCGTAATTTGTTAAATCGTTGAAAATTAGGTGTATTTTGATAAATTTCCCTATTTTTATTCAGTGTTCTCTAGCGAGAGAGGGGACGCTTCAAATTTAATCTATATATATATGGGAAAAGTTGGGATTAGCCCACTAGCTCATATGAACATATGAGTCCAATGGTCCAGATTGAATCTGGATCGATCTGACGATCAACGATGTCTGGTAGTGTTTGAATTTTAGTTTTTTTTCTACAAATTCGGATAGCTTAAAATTTTCGGTATGTGTTCTTTTCATTAAAGAGCACCTAATAAAAATATAAAAAAAAAATTATTCAAAAAAAAATAAAATGATCAAAATACCTCTCAAATATTATCGGGGG